GCACATAATCAGCTCCGTGTACGCTAAGTTTGAAAAAGTATAAATTCGCCTTACCTGCTGGTTATCGTCAATCGCACATTGATGTAACGGCGTTAACCCATCCTCGTTATGTGAATTAGGATTTGCACCTTCACGTAATAATCGCTCAACTGTAACAGCAAAATCACTCAAATGTGTGACAACTCGTCCGCACAAACTTCTGCGGAACTTTTGCGCGCTCACCCTCAGCAGCGTCGGCTCGTCCAGTCGCTTCAAGCAAAGCGACTTCGGGCGAAAACCGCAATCGCTGTCGACGCGGTCGCGGCGGAGGCAGTGATCGCTCTCGTTCGTCACATTTGCGCAGCTGATCTCGACGCCGCTCTCTGGAAAAATCAAAGATTAGGTAAATTCAGAAAATCCCTATTTGTGGCACAATATTTGAAAAAAAAGTTGAAGAACGAATATAGCCAATGAGCTTCGATTCGACGGACCACTGCTCCTTACATGGTATGCATGACACGCATGCAAGGACCAGTAGTCAGAGGTCTCAAATTGACATTCGCTCCTCTACTCAAGAGAAGATCGCGAACAATTCGACCCCCGTTCACTGGTTTACCGATTGCGTTAGAGACCAAAGACAAAATTTTAAGATTACGAAAAAACCTAGCACAATTTAATCTCCTTCTCTCTAACACGATTACTGGTAATCGTTTTCGTAGAACTGATAACAGTTAGTTAGAACTTCATAAAACAGTTTAACCTTCTTTTCGCTTCAAAAGAATGTTAACCGAAGGAGAAAAATCTCGAAAAATCATTGGGAAAAGGTTTTTCTCACGAATTACCAGCGTTAAATGCGACATTGACATTGATATTATTGGGAAAACTATTAATATGATATGAAAACAAGGAAAAGGGCTTGGTAATCAAAATGAGAAGATTAGTTGATGAAGAAATGAAAAAACAGCTTATGATTGAAGAAACCCGTACTTTATTTTGAGTAAATTAAGAAAATGAAAGGTACAGGAAAAGTAAGAGAAACAGATGTGAGAATGACGAAAATTTGCAAGAAAAAAGTTTTTTCTACCATCAAAATTGTGATAAACTTTCATTTCCATTTGATATATGAATTACAAATCCATTTTCTCAAAAAGAATAGAAACGAAAAAAATACAACAAAAATTTTTCCTAATCATTTCTTTCCTATCACTAGGTGAAATTGAATGAGAATGCAACTTTTCGCAAATTATTGAAGTTCGTCTACATATGAAAATAATCAGCAAAGAATCTATTTACTTTCTTCTAAA